AGCGTGCACATGGTGAACTGGCCACTTTTCACTTACCATTTCTGCCCCTTCAATTGATATTGAGTGCGAACTGATTACGTAGGCCTTGAGCTGGCCATTACCAAATTCTTCATTAGTTGTACTGCTTACAGATAACAATCCTTGGCCTTGTCCAATTGGTACTTGCCTACATGTAGCCGATGCAGCAGTTGACTTGAAGCGCCATCTCGCAATGCATCAGTTCCATGCCCATGCTCAATTCGTTGGATTGTTAATTATTGGGGCAAAACCAGATTTCAAGAGCATGCAGAGGTTTGTTTTGTTCATTTATAAAGGATAGAGAGATTACAATCTGAAAGGATTTTTGATCTTGGATTTTCAGCTGCGGATTTCCACCTACATTAGATATAGCATACACAGGCGACATCACTTACTGTCTTTGGGATAACTGCCATGTACGTTCAGCTTTACTTGTTTCATGCTCTGGTATCCAATAAAGGAGGAAAAGCTTACCGCGGTAGCTTCCTTTTTGGGGCGTGCCAATCTTTCCATATTCATTCAGAATCGTAATGGTAATTGATTCAGGGCAGGACCTGCCGCTGGGAAGAATTTCTGCAAAATAGCCTCCCCTCCCCCTAAAAGCTCGTCTCTTACTCTTACAACCTCGTCCCTTCCACATCCTCAGCCCCACCTACTATCTTCCTGAATTCTCTTTGCTTTCCTACCACTTTCCGTTTCTTCGAAGTTAAAAAATTGCCGTCGAGGAGAGCGGGGAGGGGGCGGGAGGGAGAATACAGGAGGCACGTAAGCAAAACAAAAAAACGGGTATAGTTTTCAACCTAAACATCTGGAGGAGCAAATACGACCCCCTCCCTCCTCCAGCGACCAAATATGACCCCCGCGCTTGGAATCCCTAGTGTACGTGCCGTATGCGAGTTGGTCTGCTCATGGTCTTGGATGGGGTGCCGGCTTCAGTGTTTTTTTTATTCGTAGAAGTGTGTTACCCTTTAACGGACCCTGAAGTAATGGAACGCTTAGGTGGGATCCCGCGCGAATTGTGGAGGGGTACCGTTTCCATGTTAAGCGGCCCAGCTTGCCATTATAACACCTCCGTTCTTTTGGTATTCAAGGGTGGAAACATATTATGATTATAATTGGGGAAGCGAGTGAGGCGGAAACAACGGATTCGAGAGAAAGGGGTTTGACCAATCGATCTGCGGCTGTTTTCACAACGGACGAATGGAAGTCTCAGATCGACCTTCACCGGGGGAAGTAAGAGCAACTCATTGGTATGATGCTCGTCTGTGATGATGAAAACACTGACTTGTACATCCGGGTGGCCCCTATAAGTCACGTTCTGCTTGAATATCATTCAGTATGCCAATCCGATTCTGATTGTCTATCTTTTACGAAGATGGTTCTCTTTTCATTCACATTTTCTTTATTATTCATCAAGGTAACTCGTTTCAGGACAATTTCTCAGATCCACTGCACTTATTCAATCATGTCATGACACATATTGACTTTCTCAGTAGCGACGATCGTGTTTGTGATGAAGAATCAATGTCACTTCCACAACATAGATGTCTTTGGGAAAACTGTTACCGGCAGTTTGAAATACAAAGGAGATTTGAGGTTTGTGCTTCCTAATAATATAGATTATTTTCTTCAAAGATTTACGTCACTTGTAGCTCGCGAATTTTTTCCTGATTTTTTTATCTTATGTGAATTCTTTATTTTTTTCATATTGTAATTTTCAAACAGGCGGAGGTGGGCAGTGAGAAGTGGCGCCTACCACTCGCGCGGTTCTCAGTTCAAATCCAGGGTCGACTCCCGCCCAGACCAACCAAGCCTTCTACCCTTCGGGGCGGTAAATTGGTACCAGATTCGTGTGGGACGGATAAAACACTGACTAGTACATGTATCACCTGTATCACCTGTGCTCCCGTTGATCATCGAGTTCCTCGAGCGGGCGCCAGTAACGTCTCCATTCGTCCCTGCAACGTGCAAGAGTTGCCCAATGAACTCTCTCAGCTCGAGGGACACGATGAACTTCATACCGTTCGTTCAGAGCTTTCACGAAGAAGTCTGACCATCGCATAGGCGGTCGTCCAGGCGTTCGCTTGACATCCCGTGGAATCCAGTCGGTGACTGCTCTGGTCCAGCGGTCGTCCTCGAAACGCATGACGTGTCCAGCCCACCTGATCTTCGAAGCCTTGGCAAATGCGGCGTCTCTGATCGTCGATCGTTGTCGGAGT